TTTCCTTGGTGTGGCTTTATTCATTGAGCCATGGGTCATCCTTTATCTGTCTTTTCTCGTCCATTTGTAGAACAGACTATGCAAACAAGGCGCGAGGTCTAGGTCAACTTTAGTCACTTCTAAAACTACATACTAAATGCTGCCAGCAATGAGGGGGGGGGGGCGGCCAAAGTCTTTCATAAAGGGTGAGTCCCTCTCAGGACAGAGCAATGGTCTTGCTGATGGAGTCTGACACTGAGTTGATAAGGTTATAAGGTACTGATTCCCCGAAAACATAAGTTTTGACATGCTTCTTCCCTATCTGAAGGCGGTGATGTCGCATAGGTTAGAAATGCCAAAGTCAGGGGTTACGGTGGTAAAATCCGGTCAGTGTTACTGTCAAAAAATAAGCAATAGTGTACAAAGAGGCCAGATTTAGCGATGGATGGTCTCGCAAGTTACTGCGTACCTGAATGCATAATCACATGTGTATAGAGATTCTTGAAATGACGCTGAATGCACGGCTCATCTCGAAGAGTTCAAGCAAAAATAATTACTTTGTTTTCATCAAGTTCCGAATATTCGATTATCCCCTCATCTCTGTTGTTTCGAAAATGATATACTTTCAAAAACCAAGAAATTCCACGTACAAATTGCCAATAAAACAGCTATTTCATCAGTGTTAGGCCGCAGAGCAGTTGTTGCCACAGCGGCGACAATCACAAAACGTGATCCGCCTGTCTCGACATCGGATCTGCTCACAAAATGTTTCGGACTTCCGGGATGAACGAAATTGAAATGCTTCGTTTGAATTTTCACTTATCATTGTTTTCAATGAAAATTGACTAGTTTGATAGCAGCCTGTGTGGGAACATGCTCATGGGAATCAGCTGCTGAGTTCCGAGGCAAACAAAGGGAGATTTCCGATCACCGTCGGCATCGATTAGCTTACTGGTCACCTCTTGAGGAAGCTCCTAGAAGTTCCTAGTGCAAAGCACTACTTGAGACGAGTCTCAATGTTACTTGGTCATATTGAAATTTGAAACTGAGGACGATGATAAGGTCGAAACTTTACCTCTCCGGCGAAATTTTTCACCTGTAACCTTGTTGGCGCAAAAAGAAAGAGCACTTTGATGGGTCGCTGCGTTTAGCAGAGGAGCTAGGCGGAGTTCATAAATTGGGTGGAGTTTGTGTGGGGCAGTAGGAGTCATGGCCTCCTTTATCGTACAATAGAAAGTGTCTCCCTGCCATAGAGCTCTTTTCGTGAGCAAGCTTATGTGATGGAAGTCAAAAGGATTGCCCATAATGAGTGTAGTCCTAAAAGCACTCTGCACGAGTACTCGAAAGGTTAATTGCCTTCTGTCACCAGGTGGGCAGGACCGCGGTGGCTCCTCAAAGCCGCTCAACACAGGTAGTCGTGTGACTATCGCGGGTGTTCGGCTGTCCGTATGGCGTAGCGTGATGCATACCCCGTAATTAGTAACATGCGGGTACAAAAAGTGTTAGAGGAATGGTCCGCGATGACCTATGAAAATGCAACAGGTTATGTGGGAAGGTAGGACGGTCCGGAATGGACAACTCTGTGTCACTTTCGCGGCGGGAAGTTGCACGGTAAAGGAATTAAGGCGCAGAGTTGGTTCGGTGGTACATCCCTTTTTCCAGTGACTCCGCCTCCAGACCCGCTCAGCCAAAAGTAGTGTTCCAGGGCCTTCTCAGCCAAAAGTAGTGTTCCAGGGCAAGCATGCATGGAGTGGATGCATTCAATGTCTCCTGTAGAGACATAGGGTTCATTACTGGGAACCAGCCGACGGGAATCGTCGCACGCTGTTTCGGTCTTTTACCTCTTTAGCTGTTTGAGGCTAGAGGATGCCTGACGAATGCGTTTCCAACGTTCCCTTTGGCGTTTTCTCTTCATAGACGGTCGACGCGGCGAATTTTCTTTCAAGTTTCTGCAAAATGGCCTAAGCTTTTTATCGCGGACCGTGCCTTTAAACTCACCCCATGATGTCCTGCATGTATGAAGGATTATCTGGCAATGGCAGTCTCACGACGACACGGTCACTGGAGGCCGGCATGGGCCTATCAGGCACGAATGGGGCTAAAACCTGAGCTTCCAACTTTTAAAAGCAGCATAGCCTCTGACGTTGCCTGCTTGACCATCGTGCACGGTTATGAGAACCTAGCCTTAGTTTATCGCGGAACGTGCCTTTAAGCAGTCACAACCCTTCGGCATAATTGCCGCACTTTTTCGCATCGGATGGGGACCACAATGCCACTGCTCCGGGCCTGTCAACCCCCTCTCCCACCCCTTCGCGCACGGTAAAGTACCCACCTATGAGCTAGTCGTGCTGTGCGACTTAAAAATTTTCTCCACACCTCCGCTTCTAACTTCAGACTCCCAAGTGGAAGAATGAATTCTCAAAGGAATAGGGAGAAGTCCTCATAAATTTAAACGCAACATGAAAGTATCTTTGTTCAGAAACCCAATGATAGCATCATAAAAAAGTACTCCAACAAATTTTCCATGAAATATTCGGCTACTGCACTCTTGTGAATTTGCTATAAAAGTTGGGTCTCTCCTGATAGTTGCATGCTCTGGATAAAGTTGAAGACACTGTTAGCGCTATACCTTTATAGGAGCCGAATGCAGGAGATGGTGGAGCGTACAAATGTACAGCAAGGAACCAGTTGGGCGAATCAAACGCCAACATCAACTTAAATTTTGCAGGTGAGTCATTACTGGCACAGTCTTGAGGCCGAGCTATAGCTTCACTTGTAGGAGGTGGCGATGAGAACAAGTCCAAAGGACCATCGTTCGTCGGAAAGCCACGAATTATCCCAAAAGACGGTGGAGCTTTAATAGTGATGGAATGCAAAGTAAAAAGTCCCACACCACCAGTGGCCAAGTACGAAACATTTCTTATGTAGAGTTCTTTTTCACCTCTGATTGTACTTTTCGTGCAGATGGTTGAAAGACGGCGTGCCACTGCAGATGGGCGGCCTCTATCATGCCATTTTTGTCGACCTTGGTGATCAAACATATTTATGTCAGCTGGAAATCAGGGTTAGTTCATTCTTTGAGAGCTGTGAAATCAGAACAAGATTATAAGTTCAGGAAAGTCAGGACGCGTACAGTACCCCTGGAAATTGCGCGTGAAATCAGTTATGTCGCGCAGTGAACGCACACAATCGGTCATACTGTAACCCGGTCTAGTTACCCAAGTTTGAAGAACATTCAGTAGCCTGTGTTATACGTCTTGCGCACGACCGGGCTGATGTATGGTGCTCATCATTGCAGACCGGTGGGGCGGCGCGTGTGACTCGGCTGTGACGCGACTGTCATCACAGCCGAGTCACACGCGGCGC